TTGTAATATTTAATTGTGACTTTGAGTTTTATGGATACTTAAAAATGACACTATATTTTATTAAAGTGACCTTAAATTCTGTGCAATAATAAAATAGTTTCTTAATTTTTCAAACATTATGAATTGATCCCTATATATCTAAAACTTACCCAATACGTGTTTATAACTTGTCCAACACTTGTCCAAAAGTTCATAATCATTTGGGTGTAGTAATTAAAATATTAAGAAAATCATAGGGTGGGCATGCGCCCCCCTAAACCTAAGCTACCTTCGCCCTTGGTTACAAAATGAGAATCTTTCTATGCTTGAAAAATCTTTGATATTTAATCCACTCTTGAGATACAAGCATGCACCATCCAACTTTTGTTATCAAGCAATTGAAGGCGAATTTTCAAGCACGACTCATTCAACTATTGAGGAAATACCACAATTGTTTTGGTATTTTGGAAAGCATCAATAACTTGTTTGCAAAATGTGGACTTGTTTTCAAAATAAATTAGATTGAAAAAAGATGAAAACACATACCAAACAACTTTTTTTTTTTAACAAAAAAAATAATAAAACAAGTCGTGACCAAACGCAATCTTAGAGGTCGTTTGGTAACGTTTTTATTTTTGCGTCTTTAAAAAAATAAAAAACAGAGACAATTTTTGTCTTTATTTGTGGTAAACACTAAAACAGAAAACATGTTTTAGAGTCATTTTTGTATATCAAATTATGAGAATAAAAACAAAAAACATATTTGGTAACTATTTCAAGTTTTATAATAAATATAAGTTGATTCTCATCTTCAAGGGCCATTGCTTAACAAAAAACCCATTTGTGACCCAATCACACATGGGCTTTCGAGCCTGTAACAACTTTCATACATACCCGATAATTTTCAATACAACACATACAAAACACACAGAATACACACATACACACACAGAGTCACACAGACACAAACATAAAACACACAGATCCATACAAAACACACAGAGAACACACATACTCTGCACACCCATTTTTTTTTAAATGAAAAATGATAAACAGAGGGGGGTTTCTAATGGATTTGTACACACAAAATTTAGGGAAAAATGAGAAAAACAGAGGGTTGGTTCATCACAGATCTGCACACAAAAATTTTAGGGGAAAACGAAAAAAAAATAAAGGGGTCCATATATATATATATGTGTGTGTGTGTGTGTGTGTGTGTGTTACCTTTACATTCATAGATTTGACATATATTTGAATGGATCTAACATATATTTGAATGAATATACTTACCTTTCACCAAACTGGTCTCAAATCGATGGAGGACACACATATTACCTACAGATGGAGGATCGTCAGGAGATCTGTGATTGAAAGCCTTTTCATTGTCCCAACTATTGGGCTCACACCATCGTGGAGGAGGAGAGGGTCGCCGAGAGAGAGAGAGGAGAAGAGGGTCGTTGAGAGATAGAGAGGAGAAGAGCGTCGTTGAGAGAGAGAGGAGAAGAGAGTCGTTCACAGAGAGAGGGGGGAGAATGAATATAAAAAAGACCATACAATCCCCATATTTATAGTTCAACAAATGTTGTGGTATTTTTGTGGCTAACAAGAGTTGAAGTTGAGACGTCATTAAAATGTTAAACGCATGTTTTGTGTTTTGGGTGTTTCTTGGAACACAATTTTTTTGCTTCTATTTTTTTGTCTTTGTTCCCATTTTTTCCAAGACAACTAATTTATGAAGCACATATACTTTATTGAGGTCGACGTACCCGTATCGGATATAATACTCGTCGGATACTCGAGGATACGTATCGAATACATCTCCTACGTATCCAATAATAATTAAATATTAAGATACTTCACGGATACTTTTGTATTCAAGCAATATATATAATTTTTGAGTTGAATTTTTAACATTTCCTTTCAAATTCACATATCTATATAATAAAACAGGAGTGTGTTTGAATTTTATCCCATTCATATTTTCCCCCTCAAAACCATTACCAATCACTTACCTCACCCATCATCCATTTGTTAGACTCAAACGTCAAATTGCATCACTTATTTCTATCATATGTTTAATCATTTATATATTTCTTCCCTAAAAATATCACATCACTCATTTCTAGCATATATTTAATTATTTAATATTTGATTAATTTGTAGTTAATATATTTTAAAAAAAATTAATATAATGAGATCGATTTTTTGGACGCTCGAATTTTATATTTTATCGTGCCTTTAGGCACGGGTTATGACTAGTCATACAATACATTAAAAAAAAAATTATATTACTTCAAAGATAATATAAATCTACTACGTTATAATCTGAACAAAAATTACTTCTAAATAAACTTGGCTCGATAAATATTAGTTTTGATTCCTTTAATTAATCACTTCACTTTGTGAATATACCATAGTGATACGATAAATATTTTTTTTAAACTAAAAAGAGTTACTAATGTTTCTTATTGTATTAAAGAATTACCAAAATATATAAGTATTAAGTTGGTTTAAAATAATAAAAATAATAAATATATTTTATTATAGTCGTATTTCGACCATACCAATATTCTATTTTTTTAGATTTTATCATATCACCGTATTCATATAGTGTCGTACCCGTATTTTGTATTTATATTCGTATTCTGTATTTGTATTTGTTCTTCACAGCAACTAGTATAAAATAAAAATAAAAATAATATCTAAACATATTTTTATTTTTATTTTTGACAAAAATTAAAAATAAAATCACAAAATACAAGACAAGATAAACAAACAGCTCCTAATTTTTAAATTTTTGACAACATTTTTGTTTTTCTTAATTTTTGTCGTAAATGAGAAAGTTCCCCCATATGTTACCCTTCGCGGAATCTCGCTGTCACCCCTCCGTCCTCTCCCCTCTCTCTCACACACACACACACACACCCACCCCCACTCACCCACCCACAAACACAGACACACGGGAGTAAAGTCCACCACGAAGAATGACAACAAAACCAGCTCTTTAGGGTTTTCATTCAAGTCGCTGTTAAGGTAGAGTCTCCAAATTTTGTAACTTAACTCGGTTAATCTGTTTAAAATACCTACTTCATCACTCGATTTACTGTGATTGAGGTTTGCTTTAAGAATGGCGAACTCTTCGAATGAAGAGCAAGATCAAAGGTATTTATCATTCTGGTTTAGAGAATTTCTTGTCTGCAAAGCCGAAATCAATTGTTTATCGTCGTTTTTGTCTTTTCTATTTCGATTGATTTGAAATTTATTTATTTCAAGAAAACCCCATTACCAAATAGGGTAATTCAGTTCTTGGGAGACATGTATTGTCTGTTTGGTAGCCGAGAAAACGTAGGAAAATGTTAGAGCAAGTAAGATTTTGGGATCATTTGGTTTAGTGTTTTTCTTTCTACGAATGAAATGGAAAAGTCGAGGCATTTTTTACTAGACTTCAGTTGAGTTTTTGCTTTGTCGGATCCATAGTGGTGATAAACCTCCTGATTCTACAATTTTTTTTTGTGTTTTGATCAGCAAATGACTGGTTACAAATAGTATGTTTTCTGTTGATAATTTGGAGTGAAATGTGAGGAAAAATAAAATTTTGAGATTATATGGTTTTATTGTGATTTCCGGATATAATGGAAAACTCAAGGCATTTTGACTGCTCTTAAATTCTGTCTTTTGTTTTACCTGTTCCTTAGCTGTGAGAATTCAATTATTAGTGAGTGGATATCATGACGTAGGCAAGCTAGAATGCACCCAGCCAATTGAAAGAAGAGAAGGAAGCATGGATGTGCGACAGTAAATCGATCATCTTGCTCTCAAAGTGAATCATACAAGGTACATATTGGTGGCACTTGCCTAAGACAGGTTTGAAGATATACTGTATTTGCTCTACACCAATAGACCTCACTAACATGTACTGCATTTGCAACAAGGTCTCTGTATTTGCAGGTGGTGTTTTATGCTTCATTGGATAAGCCGGAACAAATGAATTGTTTTCAACATGTCTATTACAAAAAATCTTAAATCATAATAGTTGTAGTCTCTAGTGATGTCAAATTGTTGGCTACTGTAGCACTTTTTCTGAGTGTTAAAACTAATTATACCATGGAAAACTAAGTGCAAGGAACAATTAGAATTTACTGCAATTCTTTGTAGCTATGCATGCTTACCGTCTTCTTAATTTGACTGAGGTTAAGAGTTGAAAGAAATAATATCTTGTAAAAATGTTTATCGTTTGGCCAATAGTATCCGATAACCAGTAACATCATATGGTCTTCCAATCATTTGTATGGTGGCTTCCAAACTAGCTTGAGCCCTCTTGTTTAAAGATAATTTGGGATTGGCTGTTTAAGTTTAATTTTATTTTGGTTGGGCTTACTATACTATTACTCAGTTTGAAATTAGTGGGAGTTGAAGTTTCACCTTGATTGGCTGATGTATTACTATAAAACAGTCTGCCTTGTCTATGATGTTGTTACTGATTCGAGGCTACATGCTTAGAAGTCAAAAATATGACANTTATAAAACAGTCTGCCTTGTCTATGATGTTGTTACTGATTCGAGGCTACATGCTTAGAAGTCAAAAATATGACACCTAAGAAAAATACCATGAAATGCATTGCTTTTGGGATTGCCGACTTACATTGTTGATTGGAACTCTGGTGTCCTGGGTCTCTTGTGACTTACCATGACATCTACATGTAGCAGATAATCTTTCAACAAGTGCAGAGAACAGTAAGTCTTAGAAGATACATTAGTGACAAACTGAGGCATGGAGGTCGGAATGGGGTTCACTAGATTGCAAATCTATTAGTAAAATTCTCACAGAACATAAAATGACAGTAAATATTGAATGATGTCACTAGGTGTGTTCAGTGTTGACATAGTTTAACTGTCAACAGACTTTATTAATTGTACTAGACAATGTGCAAAATACTCCATACACTACAAAATACCAGGTATGGGGTGTTGTTTTCCATATATAATCTTCTGAGTAATCGTTTACCAGGAAAAATACTTGCATGGAGGATTCAACTGCTATGACAATTGAATTTCTTCGGGCACGACTGTTGTCTGAAAGATCTGTCTCAAGAACAGCAAGGCAGAGAGCTGATGAACTGGCCGTAAGGGTTAGTGTAATAATTGATGTATATATGTATGTTTATGAACTACCCCCCCCCCCCNGTTTTTCCTTGTTTGCATGTTCTCCTTATCATAAAATGTTGGTTTTATTCCATTTCTTGTGCTATCTTATTGAACAAAGGTAGTGGAACTCGAGGAACAGCTAAAGATTGTGTCTCTTCAAAGGAAGAAAGCAGAGAAGGCAACAGCAGATGTTCTTGCCATTTTGGAGAACAATGGGATAAGTGATGATTCCCAGGCTTTTGATTCAAGCTCTGACCAGGAAGCAGATCTTTCTGAATCTAAAGTTGGTAATGATTCTGTGAAGGAGGAAAACTCAGTTAATGTGAAAGAGAGAAGCAATGATATGGAAGCATTTTCGGGTTCTGAGGTTGAATCTTCTCCATCATCTCATAGAAGCTTGTCTTGGAAAAGTGGCAAAGATTCTTTGCATTCTCTTGAAAAGAAGAAACAGGTGGATTTTACTGGGAGAAGGCGTAGCAGTTTTGCATCAGCTGGCTCTTCTCCACCAAAACGGGCAGGTAAATCATGTCGCCAAATAAGACGCAGAGAGACTAGGTCAGCTTCCCTTCCTCTGTTACTCTCCATTCGTGGTACTATTTTTTTGTGTTATCCTTAGAGCTTAGGAAGAGCCATGGTTAAATTTCATGAGTTCTACTGGTATATAGTAAATTAACTATGACAAACCATAAGCATCTATATGCACATGGAACTTGTGAAAGGTCATGTTGGTGAGAAAATTAACCTTGATTCTCTACTCTAGATATCTCTCAATACTTTTTTGGCACCTGACAATTTCATTTGGCAATTGGCACCTTATATATTCCACCACCATAAAAGAAAAAGAAATGGAAAAGACAATTTTTTTTTTCCTTCCTTTGTTTTGTCCAATCAACTGGGAGAAGTTGTGTGCATGGAAATTTTTTGCATGTGCACCATCGACCGAATCATATCTAGTAATTTCAGAGCACCTCTCAAACTGCACAAGCACAATTTTGATTTTAGCATTCTTGCTTTTCATAGGAACGGTTCAGCTACAAGTTCAGAAGGTTTTCTTAATTGCTCTAACGGAGGTCTTCAGACCCTGAGGGAAGGGTCTCAAAACCATAAAGAGAAAGATTTACTTGAAGGTCCAGTATCAGGGGACTTGAAAACCCAAAGATTAAGCAATGGCCACTATTTCAATGGACATGGAGGACACAAGGACATGGAAAGAGCATTAGAACATCAAGCACAACTCATAGGTCGATATGAGGCAGAGGAAAAAGCTCAAAGGGAATGGGAAGAGAAGTTCAGAGAGACGAATGGCTGTCCACCGGTATGTTTCATCAGTTTTAATTCATAACCATTCATGCAATTGCATTTTTAATATTATCATGTAGGGTGTAGATGCTCCGTTAATATTGAGCATCCCACTTAAGAATATATAGTTTGTTTGCAATAATTATAATTGTGGGACTCTTGGTTGATTATGTTCCATTTGACCGCCATTCTCTTGAGGAATACTTGTGATGTGTTCTATTTAGTGGTACTTGGTTGGCCATGCTTGCAGGACTTTTTATGAGTTGCTATTACATCACGACTGGTAGCTCATATCGNATTTAGTGGTACTTGGTTGGCCATGCTTGCAGGACTTTTTATGAGTTGCTATTACGTCACGACTGGTAGCTCATATCGTTGTTATAGTCTATCTATCTATCTATCTATTTCTTTTCCACTCATTATAAAAATTTGTTGTGTGGTAAATCTACACAACCTTCCTTCAAGTTGTCTACAGGTTGTAAAATTACACCTTCATGACTGGTGTTGAGTTCTTGAATCAATTGTTTCAAGATTCTTGGCTATTCTATTTAAAGTAAGACACCTTGTGGTTGGTTATTTTAAAGTTACTTTTAGATTTAGTGAGATTTGTTTTTGATTTTTACAATTAGCATATTCTTACTAAATACCAAGAAATTGATTATGGTGGTATGGTAAATATTTTTTACATTATTGGTAAAGCTATATTGGGAATTTTTAGATGCTAAGGTCTACAACTCCTAGTTTGAAAGGAAGTAGAAGATTAAATGATTTATTAATTAATTGGAGAAAATTTCAGCATTCGGAAAAGCAATATCGATGATCTTTTGATTCACAAGAATNGCTGGGAGAAGTTGTGTGCATGGAAATTTTTTGCATGTGCACCATCGACTGAATCATATCTAGTAATTTCAGAGCACCTCTCTAACTGCACAAGCACAATTTTGATTTTAGCATTCTTGCTTTTCATAGGAACGGTTCAGCTACAAGTTCAGAAGGTTTTCTTAATTGCTCTAACGGAGGTCTTCAGACCCTGAGGGAAGGGTCTCAAAACCATAAAGAGAAAGATTTACTTGAAGGTCCAGTATCAGGGGACTTGAAAACCCAAAGATTAAGCAATGGCCACTATTTCAATGGACATGGAGGACACAAGGACATGGAAAGAGCATTAGAACATCAAGCACAACTCATAGGTCGATATGAGGCAGAGGAAAAAGCTCAAAGGGAATGGGAAGAGAAGTTCAGAGAGACGAATGGCTGTCCACCGGTATGTTTCATCAGTTTTAATTCATAACCATTCATGCAATTGCATTTTTAATATTATCATGTAGGGTGCAGATGCTCCGTTAATATTGAGCATCCCACTTAAGAATATATAGTTTGTTTGCAATAATTATAATTGTGGGACTCTTGGTTGATTATGTTCCATTTGACCGCCATTCTCTTGAGGAATACTTGTGATGTGTTCTATTTAGTGGTACTTGGTTGGCCATGCTTGCAGGACTTTTTATGAGTTGCTATTACGTCACGACTGGTAGCTCATATCGTTGTTATAGTCTATCTATCTATCTATCTATCTATCTATTTCTTTTCCACTCATTATAAAAATTTGTTGTGTGGTAAATCTACACAACCTTCCTTCAAGTTGTCTACAGGTTGTAAAATTACACCTTCATGACTGGTGTTGAGTTCTTGAATCAATTGTTTCAAGATTCTTGGCTATTCTATTTAAAGTAAGACACCTTGTGGTTGGTTATTTTAAAGTTACTTTTAGATTTAGTGAGATTTGTTTTTGATTTTTACAATTAGCATATTCTTACTAAATACCAAGAAATTGATTATGGTGGTATGGTAAATATTTTTTACATTATTGGTAAAGCTATATTGGGAATTTTTAGATGCTAAGGTCTACAACTCCTAGTTTGAAAGGAAGTAGAAGATTAAATGATTTATTAATTAATTGGAGAAAATTTCAGCATCGGAAAAGCAATATCNTAGTGGACCAAAGCGGGGGCGGGGGGTGTAGTCTCTTTCCCCGTATCCGCTTTAAAAAACTCTGTCCATCCCCGGTTCACCCCTGTTAACGGGTATAATTTTCATTTCTATTCCCGTCCACGAGTAAATTTCTAATCCCCACCCCCATCCCCGCTTCTCTCGTACCCGTCCAAGCCTAAGCTTAAGTCAATATAATCTAAAATTTTAAATAAATTTAACATTTTAAATAAATTTAACATTTTAAATAATCCAATAACATTCTAAATAATCTAACATAACATAATATAGCATAGTACCCCAAACATACAAATAACCCAAAATGATAAAAAATACAAGAAGGTACCTGACTACTTGTACACTTCCATGCTCTTTCAAAACTTTGCAACTCTTTAAGATTCTTCACCATCATTTGTACAAAGTCGGCTAGTACCCTACTATCTGCAATCATGAATAGATATCTAACTTGGAATCCATAAAGAACAGCATGCAAACAACTAACCATGCCTTAATTTTGATAATATAATAAAGTTTGCTTTTCAACTTCATTCAAAAATTAGATATTATTTTCAAACTTCACAATCAAACCCCCACCCAAGCACAGGAAAAAGGACAAAAGCATAAAAGAACTAACAAAAGGGTTCCCCAAACCATCTCAACCTAACACAAATAACAAATTAATAAGGGAGAAACTTTTTTGTCATGTAGCTTCACACCTGTAATTTAATAAGGAAAATAAAACATAAAAAATTATATGTTTTAACGNAAACTTCACAATCAAACCCCCACCCAAGCACAGGAAAAAGGACAAAAGCATAAAGAACTAACAAAAGGGTTCCCCAGACCATCTCAACATAACACAAATAACAAATTAATAAGGGAGAAACTTTTTTGTCATGTAGCTTCACACCTGTAATTTAATAAGGAAAATAAAACATAAAAAATTATATGTTTTAACGGGTACAGCGGGAGCGGGGGCGGGGGGAAAGAGTAAGTCCATCCCCGCCTTCATCCCCGCATGGGTTTATACGGGTATCGCCGTATACGTCTACCGTCTAATATTTATAGTCCATCCCCGGTCCAAACGGGGTGGGTTTGGATGAATACCCATTTTTCCCTGGTTCACTGCCATCCCNAGGTATAGCGGGGGCGGGGGTAAGAGTAAGTCCATCCCCGCACGGGTTTATACGGGCATCCCCGTATATGTTTACCGTCTAATATGTATAGTCCATCCTTGGTCCAAACGGGGTGGGTTTGGATGAATACCCATTTTTCCCTGGTTCACTGCCATCCCTAATTGCAAAAGGTTTGGGGGTGGGTTTATGGTGGGGTTAGGTGGTTGTTGGTGGTGGGTTTAAGTGGTGTTGGGTGGTAGATTTTAGGTAAAATGCCAAACATGTTTTTTATTTTTGTTTTCATGATTTTTTAAATATAAATGACTATCAAATATGTTTTATATTTTTTAATTTTTATCACAGAAAAACAAAAACTAGTTTTATTTNAGTGGTAGATTTTAGGTAAAATGTCAAACATGTTTTTTATTTTTGTTTTCATGATTTTTTAAATGTAAATGACTATTAAATATGTTTTATATTTTTTAATTTTTATCACAGAAAAACAAAAACTAGTTTTATTTTTTTTTATATAAAAAAAACATAAAAACGAAAACGTTACTAAACTCACCCTAAATCTGCCCTTTTTTGTTCTCAGTTTTCAAAAAACAAAAATAAAAACAGCTGGCCAAACAACTTTTTTTCCAAAAAATTGTTTTCAAAAATACAAAAACAGTTTTTGAGATGCAAACCAAAGGGGGCTTTAGGTTCTACTCTTTGTTGTCCCTACTACACTCCTGAACATACAATCTCTCTTTTAGTTTTTTACATGGTGCCNTATGCAAACTAAAGGGGGCTTTAGGTTCTACTCTTTTTTGTCCCTACTACACTCCTGAACATACAATCTCTCTTTTAGTTTTTTACATGGTGCCCATTGTTGGTATTTCCAGGAGTTGTTATATAAACCACAAAAGTAAGAGTTACCTGAGCAGAACTTCAACTTTCTACCAAAGTATAAATGTGTAACTGGAAACTCTTTAGACCAATGTTATCTAATGTTTCTTAAATGAGTGGAGCTGCCTGAGGTATTGCTGTATTCGTTTCGTACCCGTTTTTGTATCTGTACTCCCTAGCAGCTCAGGGATTCTTCTTGATGATATCTGGCGAACATTTTCTTTGGCAATGNGCGTAATCGTACCCGTTTTTGTATCTGTACTTCCTAGCAGCTCAGGGATTCTTCTTGATGATATCTGGCGAACATTTTCTTTGGCAATGTTGTCCCTGATATAGCATCTCATTTATTACTGTATGTTTCGAAGGCCATAATTTAAGACTGCTACATTCAGACCTCTCAATGCTCGAGTTAGTAGCAGTGAGTCATGATTGATCTCAGAATATCTTTCTTCAACAATAACTTGATTGAAAGTGTGGAAATTTGATATGCTACAATTGACCTTTTCATAAATAAACAAATATTAAGTTCATGAGCAAAAAATTTTGTTTGTAATGATAGATTTCTTCACATTATGCATTACATATCCCGAAGGATGGACTTTTTCACAAAATTATACTATTATGTCACAAAGTTCCAAATCCTCCTTTGTGGCTGATTACTTTGCTCTTCTATTAAGTGACAGTAGACATATAATATGTATTTTTACATCTTAGTAACTGCTGATGTGAAATAAATTTCTTTACAAGCCTTAGTTATTATGTAATGGGTATTTTCATTTCTATAATTAGAGGTCAATTAGATAATAATATATAATATGAGAGGATTTAAGATCATGGCATATGCTCCTTAGTTGCCCCAAGTTACCACCAACCCGAGACATAAAGAGTGGTTTGATGGGAACTGAAGGAAAGAAAAATTAATACATATCATTGGGCAGCATTTGACATTTGTTACGTCAAGTACAGAAGGTGAAAAATGTTAACCCCAGTTGAACAAATAATTGCAAAGTAGCTAAGAATTTAGCATTTGTGATGAGATCTGTAGTGTGAATAAGCTTTGAAAGAAATTTTAAGGAAGTTAACTATTTTGTGTGACAAATTTGATGTGCCGCTACAGAATGGAAGAAGGGATTGGGCCACTGGGGTGGGTGTTCTTGTTCGGGCTGCAAAACTTATCTGTAGAACCTTGAGTTTTTAATCTGATGCCAGAACCTTTTCTGGGTTCATGTGTGAGGCAATTCCTTGGGCATTATTCAGACAGACCGCCTGAGATATAAACTTCACTTTCTGCCATTTCTACGATGCCCGCAACCCTGCCTCAAAAAAGACCAGTCATAAAATTCACTTCGATTTTGTGATATTGGGTATTCACTGTGTGGTCGTTCTGTCATTTTCCAGTACTAGTTATAACTCGTGCCTGAAGACACGATAGAAGATAATATTCGAACCCCTCCAAAATCGATCTCACTATATTAAATAATAATTTTTCTTCATTTCTTTGATTACATAATTCAAAATTTATTTTTACCCATTAGTTTCTTACAAATATTGACAATTTTCTCAAAATATGTAATTCGATAAAATTTTTTCAATATGTGTATATTATCATGTATGGATAATGTCTAAAATAAAAATTATGCTAAAAAATTAATCAAATATTAAATGATTGAACATGTGATAGAAATAAGTGATGTGGTAGTTTTGGGAGAAAAAATGTGTAGGGGATAAAATTCAACTTCCTATGTGTTTTATTATATAGATGTTGTTGGCAATTAAATTTGTCAAGCTGAAATCATTTTTTCCTTTCTCTCTATCATAGAATCTCAGCATGTAAAATTATTCACCTGTTTTTGCTGAAAATTTTGTATTACACTTAATGCGTTCTCTCCCTTAATCATGAACCATTCAGGATTCATGCGACCTTGGGAATCATTCAGATGTCACTGAAGAAAGAGATGAGATTAAGGCACCAGTTCCCAAGTGCTCTGCTGGGACAATCACCTCTCAAAACCCAGAGGCAAAGTTCGGGACTCTAGATACTTGTGACAGAGAAGAATCCAAAATTCCTAATGGCTTTCAGTCTCCACCAGAGTTTGATATGGGATGCTTACAGGATCAGAAATGCAGCAGTGCAATTGCTTATAAATCCACAGCCTCACATATGGCCAAGGGGAAGCATGATATGGAATATTCACAAAATTGCCATAGTCCACCTTTACATAATTCCCATCAATACTCATACTTGCAGGATACCGACAAAAACCAATCTGCACACACTTTTTATGCTGGAAGTTGCTTGAGCAAAGCAGAAGCTTCTGGAAGCAGAAATCAGCTTGCTTTGATTGTGCCTGACACTTCCGGTAAATTGGAATCTGTCCTAGAGGCACTTCAACAAGCTAAGGTATCATTAAAACAGGAACTCAACAGATTGCCTTTTGTAGAAGGTGGATCGGTTGGGAAAGCTATTGAAGCTTCTATTCCTGTTATGAGAAGTGGGGACAGGTTGGAGGTTCCAGTTGGATGTGCTGGGCTTTTTAAGTTGCCTACTGATTTTCAGTTCGGAACCACTACTCCAGCCAATGTCCTGGGTTCAGGCTCTCGACTAAGTTTGGCAAATTATTGTCCTGAAACATCTGGTGACAAATTCTTCTCCAGCCCTCGCATGGAGTCTCTACCAAGAGCGTCTTTTGACAATCGATTCCTCACTATTCCCACCAATCTTTACTCGGAGATGAGGCCACAAGTTCCTAGTCAGATGCCTATACCAATGTTTGGGCCTAGCTTGGATGCAGGTTTACCATCATCCGGTAGATACACCAATCTAAATTCCCACTTGAGCACAGGTCCACCCTCTACAAGTAATTACACCTATCCCATCCACCGTGACCTGATGCCACGGATGCCCTCTAATGGAGGACTTTCAAGACCCTTTCCAAGTAGGGAAGTTGGGGTACCTCCTTCGACTCAATTTTCTTTTTATGATGATCAACTTCGGCCAAATATGTACAGATAGTCGCATGCTATCAGCAGCTGCCAGGTAAATATCATTGCACCTGTACTAGAAGTCCAGAATCTGGTTTTTGTAAGTTTCGGAATCTCTTACGTTTCGGTTACTTTCTCTAATCGGATCGAGAATATGGGTATTTGTGGCGGGATCTATATGGGTGGTTGAGGACATGGCCTTGAGAGGTCATTTGTTGTATCTTTCATCTGGCGTTTGTGTATCACTGAAATAGAGATAAAGTTTGTAAAACGGATCCAAGCATATATAGTTCTCGTTATTTTGCTGTGGTTTTATTGGATATTCTGGTTGGTTGTTGGTTTTTTGTGAAAATATGTTGGATCTTTACACTGAACTCAACTTTTATTCCATGGTTGTGATATTTTAAACTTCCGAGCTACGGAGCTTGATCACAGGATTTGAGGCTACCTTCATATAAAGGAGAATGTGACAGTATGGCTGTGCTATCATAGGATTATAGGGTACAGCGAAGCAGGTGGTGTCATTTGAGAGTCTGGATTGAGAGTGCTTCCACGAGATGGACAGCCAGGACAGGGTGATTAGAGTTTGGTTGCAGACTTGTAGTGTGGTGCTATGCTAAGCCTCACCATATGGCCAGTTGCCAGCGACCTGGCCTGTTATCTCGGCTTCTCGTTGATCGAAGAACTGGGCCAACCCTCTTCCCGAATTGTATGTGGGCCTTACCTGTAAGCCTCCTGGACTGCCGTTGCTATCACAAACTAGCCCACAAAGCTGGAGTGTCAGGAAATATACTCGAGTCTGAAAGGGACTTTATAGCAAAATACCCCTCTCGGAGAGATGGAANTGGCTTCTCGTTGATCGATGAACTGGGCCAACCCTCTTCCCGAATTGTATGTGGGCCTTACCTGGACTGCCGTTGCTATCACAAACTAGCCCACAAAGCTGGAGTGTCAGGACATATACTCGAGTCTGAAAGGGACTTTATAGCAAAATACCCCTCTCGGAGAGATGGAAGAAGTCGTCTCTTGATTGGGCTTGAACGGTGGAATCTGATGATACCTCGCATAGGCATCTAGGAAAGCATTTGTGACCAGTTATGACATCTGCAAATTGGTCAATTTTTGTATCATTTAAGCAAGTATCGTTGAGACTAGTAAAATTTACATAGACTGGCCATTTCTTGTTCTTTCAATTGGTCTTTGAAAGTCAAGGAACTTGTCCCTTGGTAGGTACCTGGTCCGTTGAAGCTGACCCGGGGGTACCCTTACTGGCTTCCAATTTTTCTTGTTTTAGACCTTACTGGTTGAAGAGGTGGTGATGCAGTATCTCGAATGAACTTCCTGGTTCAACTAGGATGCATTTTTTTTTGCTCCGAGCTCTGGGAGTCGATTGTTCAACTAAAGCTTTGAGCGCANATTTTCTTGTTTTAGACCTTACTGGTTGAAGAGGTGGTGATGCAGTATCTCGAATGAACTTCCTGGTTCAACTAGGATACATTTTTTTTTGCTCCGAGCTCTGGGAGTCGATTGTTCAACTAAAGCTTTGAGCGCAGATCTTCGTTTCCATTAACAGCTATGCACTTTTTGGAGCCGGTGGTTGGTGAATGTGTGTTTGTGTGTGTGTGAAGAGAGAATGAGATACTAGCAAGGAGTGAGACTTGGAAGATAAACAACTTTGGCCCAATGTTCCAGCTGAGTTGTCAGACGATAATAGGATGTCTATTAAAACATGGACCCACAATGGAGACAAATGTGTTGAAGGACAAACATGAAGACATGGACTAAAATTAAGTTAGCAATTTGTTTTTTTTTAATCAAAGGGTGATTAGGTCAATTTATATGCATATTAACTGATTCTTTTTCCGGTNGAGATAAACAACTTTGGCCCAATGTTCCAGCTGAGTTGTCAGACGATAATAGGATGTCTATTAAAACATGGACCAACAATGGAGACAAATGTGTTGAAGGACAAACATGAAGACATGGACTAAAATTAAGTTAGCAATTTGTTTTTTTTTTAATCAAAGAGTGATTAGGTCAATTTATATGCATATTAACTGATTTTTTTCCCAGTTCAGTCAAAGACAAATCATCTACGTCGAGACTAGAATATTCATGATGGATAAATTTTTCATCACTTGGCCCAAAGATAGATTGTTAAGATTTAAATTTAAGATGTCTAAGTTTACAATTCGTCCTTATTAACACTTGAGTTACCTTCGAAATTNAATCAAAGGGTGATTAGGTCAATTTATATGCATATTAACTGATTCTTTTTCCGGTTCAGTCAAGGACAAATCATCTACGTCGAGACTAGAATATTCATGATGGATAAATTTCTCATCACTTGGCCCAAAGAGAGATTGTTAAGATTTAAACTTAAGATGTCTAAGTTTACAATTCGTCCTTATTAACACTTGAGTTACCTTCGAAATTGTAGCAATTTGTTTCTTCATTCTAACTGCTCTAAATTTTTTTAACACTAAGTTGAGTTTTATTAAACTTACATCCTATAATTTCTATTAGATTACAATCTTGAAGAATAAACAGGTGTATTCATAACTAATTAATCACACTTTTGACTGGTTCATTGATTTCAAGGATGGATGCAAAGTACCATCGACCGAGTCGATGAAACAAAAGAATAGGTTCAAGCAAATTAAAGAAATATCATCTAAAAAGATGATTTTAAATTTTGATATTAACTTCTAATTAAATAAAAAAATTTGTTATNTAAACAGGTGTATTCATAACTAATTAATCACACTTTTGACTGGTTCATTGATTTCAAGGATGGATGCAAAGCGAGTCGATGAAACAAAAGAATAGGTTCAAGCAAATTAAAGAAATATCATCTAAAAAGATGATTTTAAATTTTGATATTAACTTCTAATTAAATAAAAAAATTTGTTATTTTTGACAGTTTCAAATTGCATGGTGCAGATACTCTCTTAAAAGTTTTTTTTTTTGACCAAGGTGTTAAAGTTTTTTGAACCTATGTTTTTTCACTGCTTTGAAGAACGAATCGTAAAAAGATGTCACGAAAGGGTAGAGATCTGACCGGAGGGGGTAGAGACCCACTATGACGTGTTTTGTAATTTATTTAATAAAATAATGAAATAATAAAAAATTATTCTTGCACACAATTAATTTCTTTAAACAAAGACTCAAGAATTTAGACTTGAAAATAATATTTCCTAAAATAAAAATTTATAAAATAGGAGTAAAGGAACATCTTACCAAACTATTGATCAAGTCGAAGTTTTGTCCTTAAAGGTTGATTCGTGCCCCTCGAAGTGAATGACTTGGTGTGATAGGTCCTTGTTATGACAACCATCTAGAATTTCTATAGTATTATCTTCACAAACACGCACTTGTTGTAAAGAGTGTTTAACAACCCTCTCTTGATCGTTCCTTTTAGACGCATAAATGGATTTTATAAAAGAGAAGCAAACTTGTATCGGTAGAAGCAAAGAGAGAAAACCATCGAGTGGAGCCGAACTTCTCGTCTTAAGGTTGGAGGTTCGAATCTTAGAGTCTATATTGGAGTTCGGTGATTGACCGCTAACTAGGTTTGTTCCTGACAGTAATAAGAGGCGTGATTTGAGACCTCATAATCCCACTAGTGAGGGCCATGATCGCTCTTTTACCCCACCCCTTTTAATGAGCAAAAAAAAAAAAACAAAGACAGAGAAAGGATGATGGCTACTACCAGAGAAGCTACTAGAGATAATTCTAATGACAAAAAAAAGTGGATAGCTTACTATGTCAGCCAATTCCAATGGCCACAAAACAAGGAAGTGGGCCATGGTCTGGGCAAAGACAACGACCAAGTCATTGGAGTTAAAATAATCTAAAAGTGTAGGCCCAAATAATTGAAACACAAAAAAACAAGCCCAACAATCCCACACATGTTTCAAAAACAATTAAAACGATATAAAGAAGAACATGAGAAAGCACGCATCAATAAGGTACCACATAGGCTTTAACCTTACCTAGAATAAGTGGGAGGAAGCCACTACAATAATGGTAGAATTAGACTCTTTTAACCAAATTCTGTAATGTGAAATAACCAACTCACAATTCTCATACNTAAGCCCAACAATCTCACACATGTTTCAAAAACAATTAAAACGATATAAAGAAGAACATGAGAAAGCACGCATCAATAAGGTACCACATAGACTTTAACCTTACCTAGAATAAGTGGGAGGAAGCCACTACAATAATGGTAGAGTTAGACTCTTTTAACCAAATTCTGTAATGTGAAATAACCAACTCACAATTCTCATACCTTTCTTTAATCAGGGTTATTCTCATATGCGGGTTGGCACCACAAATAACGGTCACACGCTTGTCTTGGGTTTTCATATGTGCTCTAGCAACTTGCCAATATCACATAGAAGGCCGCTCCACCTTTACACACATATAGGTAGCATCCATCAGGAGTGTGCTACAGTTTAACACCCCATCCCAATATATAGGGACTATGGATTTATTAAGAGCAATAGCTTAACCTCTTCATTGTAGCGGCACTGTCATGACACCATAAGGATAGACTCTTCACATTAGGCCTCAACACCTAAGTGGGATAACGACAATTAACAATACCTTTATGAGGCTGTCTGTGACTTTGTTTCCCATTTAATCCCATATGTGGAATCACCCACCATAGAGATTGGGTATCAATCATAGTCTCTAAAATAGGCAACAGTCCTATCCTTCTTGATGTCTTGCTCACTAGCTTCCTCGCTAGTGGCTTAGTCAGTGGATCTGCAAGATTCAACTCTGACCTAACATAGTCCATGGACACTGTACCATTCTCAATAAACTGCCTCACAATATTATGTCACATCCGAATGTGACGGCTCTTCCCATTATATATTTTGAGTTATGGTAGCCTGACAATCACAAAGCATAATCACATGTGGAATTGGATTAGTAAATAATGATACATGAATATTCACTTAAAAATTCCTTAGCCATTCTACTTTAGAACAAGCCATTTCTAAGGCTATTGATTCTGATTCC